GGGATGCAAAAGAAATTAAGAGAAAATAAGCAATTAATGCATCAGAAAAGAGAAAAATAAGTCAATTAAATTCAAGAGACTGGTATTTTAAAAGCGATTAATAAAATGCAGAAACTACTATGTAAACTAACAAAAAAAGAGAAGAGCATAAATACACACAATAAGAAAAGAGGAAATATCTACAAAAACAGAAATGTGAAGAAACATGAAACTAAGGTGCTTTACTACTTTATGCAAAAAAGTTTGGAAATCTAAACAAAATGAGTATTTTTCTAGGAAAACCAATTTATCAAAACTGACAGATACAAAATCTGGACAGATTGATTTCCATAGAATAAATAAACTTTTTAAAGAACTAACATCCAACAAGAACCAAACCTGGAAGATTTCATAAGGTATTTCTACCAAAGCTTAAATAATTGCCAGAACACTTTTAAAAACTTATCAAATGTATTCCAAATGAGCAGTATTAATATCAAAATCTGCCAGAGACTAGGCAAAATTGAACTAGATTAATCCCATTCATAATTATGAGGGAAAAAAATATAAATATTAGCAAAAGGAATCCAGCAGTGAAAAAAAGATCAATGGTCCATAAATGAAAGGCATTGTGAGGAACACAAATACGGGCAGACATTTGGGACCAACAGCAACAAGCAAGGGCTGAAGTCAGTGTTCCATATAGCAGCTCAAACCATCACCCCCTAATGGAAATATATAAGACAATATTCTGGCCTGGGCCTAGTCAGTGATCACCGCTGAAGAAGCAGACACAGCACACTGCATGTATCAGAAGACAGGTCACAGGGGGCTGCATACTATGTGGAGACGAGCCCAACAAGCTGGCTTACCAGTGTCCAGACAAAAGTAGAAAAGACAATACAAAACTGTCCTATTCGTTGCCAGGCCCATCGTCAGCAAGTGCCAATGACCACTAAAAACATAAAAAGAGGAGAGAGAGCCACTGACACATGGCAAATAGATTATATTGGCGCACTGCCTCACAGAAGGGATACTGATATGCACTCACACGCATAGACAATGTGAGTGACGTTTTGCAAGCTTTTCCCTGTGAAAAAAGCAAACCAGACCTTGACTATACAGGGACTGCAACACTTGCAATTAATGTATCGTACTTCAGAATAATTATCAATGATTAAGGAACACATTTCACAGGCTCCCTGATTTTAAACTAAGCAGAAAAGGAGGGCATTACATGGCTATTTCATCTGCCCTAGAACCCACAGGGAACAGGACTTATAGAGAGAAAAAATGGCATCTTAAAGGAACAAATTGAGCTCTTGACAGGATTCCCCTTGTCGACAAATTTGGCTGTGGCTTTAATGGAAGCTGTATGTTCTTGCATGAGCCCTCTATTACAGGAGGAGAGAGTTTATGAAAGTCTGGTAGACATAATCTGGTACAAAGCATGCAGGTATGGAAAAAATTAGACACTGTATTAAGCCCTAACTCAGTTCCACATGAATGCCCTGATTTTGCAGTCCCCTGCTCCCATAATGCCTGGGCAGGGAACATTGACATGGGACCTGGGGTGGAAAGTGCCACCGCGCTGGACTGGCATCCTTCTTCACCTGAGGCAGGAGGGCACCATCTCCCTGGATCTGACCCCCATTTTCCTTTCAATGAAGGGTCTGGGGCACAATGGCAGTAGGCAGGCAGTACCCCCATTCCAATGGGAACTGAAGTGACACCAGAATGGTGTCATCCAGTCCTATCACTGCAGTGTCTATAACTCCTTCCACACTGGACAGAAGTCCTGGTACAGCCCTCCTAGAAGATTCCCAAGGAAACCAAAATTATTGTAGCAGGGCAGGGTTAATACCAGTTTTATTATGCCAGAGGGTGGGAGACGCCCTATGTATTTCTAATAAATTTTTTGTCTTTTCACTGTTAGCTTAAGTTGCCTTCTCCTTTGCTGTTACATCATTCCCACTGGCACCTGGATATCCTTCCAAAATGTTTTCCTGGCCTGGGGCCATCACACAGCCATATGCATGGCCAGTCTAACTGCTGAGTGTTTGGTCTTACGCCCTTGAATAGCCATGTAGGAACTCCATGGTGGACTGAGCCACTGCTGGGTGAAGACTGGATCTCTGTACAAACCTGGATAAGTGGACAATACATAGAAATAGATACCCTAGATTCCTCTAACACCACACATGCAAATGTGAGTGACTGAGATATGACACTGAACAACTACGCACAAAATTTAGGTTTTTTTCCTAAACCTGTCCCACAGGTGGCAACCATCAAAGTGAAAACTGCCCTAAAGAGCACCGGGTTCTGGCAATGGAGATCATACTTTCTGGAGCTCATCCCCACAGCAAGGATCCTCTCTTGAGCTACAGAAATCTGTTGGGAACAACATCATCACTCTAAAGATACTCAGGTAAACGATACCTAAAGTATTCTCCTAGGGTACCTAGGTTTCCTCCCAACTGCCCAATGCAAACACATCATTGTACTTAAGGACACAGATTGATTTGTCACAAATGTGTCTTGTAGGCCAGGAATGATCTATATTGCCCCAAATGGCACACAGTGGCTCTGTGCTACTAACCTCCAGCTCTGGCTTCCCCTGGGGTGGCTTGGATGACTCCAGAATCTCTGACACCATTCCCGTTTCCCTCAATGAGTCCATCTGGAGGGGTCAATGGAGATCTGTTTTTTCTTGGTGAGATTACTTACTGACTATATTTGTGCCTCCAGGAGGTTCTTCTGATACCACGTAGCAGCTGGAAGCCCTTCAAATATTTGTCTCCACAGCTTTGAATGACACCAAGCATGGTAGGGAGGTCTTGAACATTGAAACAGCTGCAATGAAGAAAGTGGTCTACAAAACCAAATGGCCCTAGAGATGCTGACATCTGTGCAACGAGGAACCTGTGCCCTTTTCAAAAGTGAACACTGTGTGTATATTCCACACAAAGCAAAGAAGCTGAAGTTAATCAATCTGTCCTTCATTCACGAAAGCAATTACAGCTTATTGACCACATAAGGTATGCCTGGTGGTCTACACACAATCATGTTTTCCAGGATGAGATCCTTGGTGGAAAGCTCTGCTAGCAAGCCTTTTGGGAAATGTGATTTTGGATCTTGTCATGTGCACCTGCATTTACTGTTAGTGTGGGTTTTGTTTGCAGTGTTTCATAAAGTCAGGCAAAAGGAATTGCAGATGATCCCACCCTTTCCAACCAGCTCAGGGAACATACAGGAAGAGATGGGCACGTGAGACTGTAAGAGCCAGTCAAGAAGATGGATTGCAGGATCCCTGACTGGAAATTATAAAGCCTTGACTATTCTGTGACTGCAAATCAGAGTGCCTTGACCTCTCTGGGACCTAGCCAGCTGCAGATTTTTCCCAGCATGCTTGAACCCAAACTCAGGCCTTGAATATTCCCAGGCACTGATAAAGGTATCTGAATTGTCACTGAAAACACTGGAAGAAACTAGCTCTAGCCCTGAGCCAAATTCTTCAAACCCTCATATAAACTCCATACCCTGACCCCCTCACTGCAGACATATCTAGGTAGAACACCCCTTTTCTCCCACTATCCGTGAGGAGGATTTCTGCAACACTATGTAAGTTCCCTTAATAAATGCTTTGGACTGATCCTCTTGACACATAGTGCTTCTTTCTTTGGAATCCCAACCAGCCCCATCTAGGATGGTTTTGGGCACTCCCTTGTGTGAATTCCCCTGCCACCACTTTCAGGGGACAAAACACTATGTACCTAATAGAACTATCCTGTTAAAAAGCAAGGGATTAAGAAACACAAAACTTATGATAGTGGGTCCTCAGATGAGAGGAAGTACAGAGAAGACTAGAAAAAGAGTAGTATTAAATGTAAGTCGTCAATCTATAATTCTTATAGGCTAGGTAATGGATTAAACAATGTTCACACTTTAAAGCCATGCATGGACCAATGACAGCCAGTGGTTATAACAAATACTATTTTGAATATCTGAGTTCCACTGGGGTAAGAGGATGAATCAAAGAAGGGCTCAAAAGAAAAGTTGCCTGGGAATGCTGAAAGGTTTTGCAGAGGAGGTGAGGTTTCAGCTGCATCCCTGCTGTGTGGGCTTCAATTTCACTGCCTGAGATTTAAATAGAGGCAGGAGTCACCCAGGCTAGAGTGCAGTGGTGCAATCACAGCTCACAACTGCCACCGCCACCTCCTGGGCTCAGGGGATCCTCCTCAGCCTCCTGAGCGGCTGGGAGTACAGGTTCGCTCCACAACCCCCAGCTAATTTTTTTTTTTTTTTTTTTTTTTTTTGTAGAGACGAGGTCCCAACTCTGTTGCCCAGACCGCTCTCGAACTCTTGAGCTCAGTTGATCCTCCCACTTTTGCCTGGAAAAGCGGGGAATTAGAGAGGTGAGCCATCACGCCCAGCCCACTAGTGTTAAAAAACGAAAGCAATAAACTGAGAGAGCCAGGAAGGCCTATGAAGAGACACTTCTCAGGCTTGTATGCCTCATAAGAAAACTATCACATAATGACTGCAAAACCCACAACCTTGCATAAAGGCCAGCACAACCTTATACCAAAAATATTTCTGCAAGGACATCCGCCCAGCAACTGCTTATCTAACCTGAGACTGGCGTCACCCTTGTTATTGATCTTTGTAGTCAAGGATAATCATTTCAAAACAATTATGTAATCCTCCTCATTCTTCCTTTAAAAACCTTTGTCTTCTTTTACATCCCTGAATAGAAACATAGTTCACTCTGACACGTCTATTCCTATTACAATGTCCTATTTCCGAATATACATGATTTTCTTTCTTTTTTTTTTTTTTCTTTCTTTTTTGAGACTAAGTTTTGCTCTGTCGCACTGGCTGGTGTGCAGTGGCGCGATCTTGGCTCACTGCAATCTTAACCTCCTAGGTTCAAGCGATTCTCCTGTCTCAGCCTCCCAAGCAGCTGGGACTATAGGTCCCCGCCACCACGCCCGGCTAAGTTTTATACTTTTAGTAAAGACGGGGTTTCACCATTTTGGCCAAGCTGGCCTCGAGCTCCTGACCTCAGCTGATCCACCCACCTCGGCCTCCCAAAGCGCTGGGATTACAGGCGTGAGCCACCGCGCCTGATAAACATCATTTTCTTTTAAAGAGTCCTCTGTCATCTAGCGAGACGCTACTACAATGGAGGAAAAAGACCCCTCCTTAAGCCCTGAGAACCTGAAAACTTTGGCTAGAAGTCCGCTCCTGAAGAGACTCAGGAAGGCTTCTGGGAACCGTAGTTCAAAGGCATCCCGTCTTCTGCGCAGACTCACAAGTCCCTGTGGACGGAAACATTGAAGGGTAGTGCCGCTCCGTCCTTCCACCGGAAGTGTCCGATCGGAATCATCCCTGTCCGAGAGGTGAGTCCGGGTTTGGGGACCCAGATGTCCGGCCCAGTGTCCCCCTCCAAACATCCAGTCCCTCTCATATTGCCTTTGAACTTAGCAGCCTCTGGGTGACCAGACCTTGGACCTCACAGGAATCCCTGACAAAGGGGGAGCCAGCTTCGGCGTTGGGAGGGCAGGAGCGCTCCCGTTTTTAGTGAGGGTTTGGCGGTCTCCATAGTTACCTCCGCCGCGCGTGACGTTATAGTGGAGCGCTGAGAGGGCGTGGTGGCGTGGAGGGTAGAGGGGCGTCCTGCTGATCCTGAATCTGGGGTCACTGATTAGCGGAGTGGCCCAGGCCAGCCAGATGGAACGGGAAGGGGCGCCACATGTCTCGGATCTGTAGTTGTCTGCCAAAAGAAACTGCTGCGAGGGCCACCCCCGATCTCCTGTTTCCCTTGGAAAGAATAACCGCCCTTTCGTAGGACATATGGGGACAACCCCGGCGTATCCTGAACTTTGTTGACACGGTAAATAGTATTTCCTGTGTGCTGAGGATGCAGTGAAACCTCTTGCCCTTGAGAAACACTGGTACTATGGGAGCCTGTACCACCATGCACTTCGAAGTCTCTGCTCGGCTTTGTGGTCTCTACCCCCGACCCCCCTCCCTACACCAACTAAACTCTGTTCCGTTTTTCCCTCCCCCAACATGCCCACCAAGGCTGTTTATCCATCAGGAACCCTGCTCTTAACCTCTGCCTTTCTCATAATTAATTACTCGTTCTTCCCTGTTCTCCTAGCGCTTGTTTACACATCTGTTTTTTGTAAGTCCCCATAACACAATATATAAGGCACTAGATGCTCAATAAATATTTATTAGTTTAAAGCTACTAACTTTAGGGGTACTCAGTTTTAAATGGATGAGAAGTGATGAAACACTTGGCGACAGGACCGTCAACTCTCTGAGATAACATGCTGTAGAAAGAGCTGCTCAGCATAATTGAAGTTTCATTTGGATTATATGGGCCAACTTTACTCCCATCTTCCTATGCTAAATGAAGTAATGCTCATTAAGCATTAGGACACTACTTGGTTAGCACATGTAGGAAACAACAAGACATAGCAAAGGAATGGCCAAGTAAAATATGAGGGATTGAGACTCTCTGGTTAATATAGCCTTTTTTTTCTTTATCATTGCTAAAGTTTGTTCCTACTTACTCAAACTGTTTGTTTTCCAAGGTTCAGCCTGAACCTATGATATTTATTTTATACTCTTGGAGAATTAATACTGATTATATCTTCCAGCTACCCCTTTCATGAATCTTGTCTAAATCTGTCTTCCCATTCCAAGTTCTTTTCCATTATTGAAATATCATTTTTTCTGCTGGAAATATTTTTCCAAGTAGATGTCTTATTATCATCTTAAGTACAGATTATCCAAAACCGAAGTCATCTGAAACTTTCCTAATTTTTCCTTTCATTCAGTCAACAAATATGAAGCCTTAAAAACAATTAATAATGCCTGGTCCTTAACCTCATGGAACAACAGTCAGTTGATAGGAAAAAAAAAAAAAAAACAAAAAAAAAAAATAAAAAAAAAAAAAAAAAAAAAAACAGCCAAACAACTAAAAATAATACAAGGACTTATATATTTATATATGTATGTGCTAGTAATTGTAAGAACTCAGTCTAGAATTGAGGACTTTCTTAACAGTGCCAGTAGAATTCTTAGTCACTCCAGTCATCACACCCTGCAAGCTGATCTCACCATTAACCTGCTGCTCATTCCCACTTCCTCAACTCTTCCTGTCCTCTCTTTCCTGAATCTTTCTCATCCTTCATTGTCCAATTTAAGCCCCACCACCTCTAGGACATACCTTCTACCATTCACAGTCTCTTCCCACCTCAGGACAGTTAGAACATTTAGTATCTCCACCATAACTCATTTCATACTTCAACATTCAACATGTAACAAACATATACAATGTATGTGTCATATGAAATATTTTGTCATTTAAATGTTTTATATTCATGTGTTGTTTTGTGATTTCTTCCGAACTGGTTCGCAAACTCAAACACTTTTTGTTTATTAAGCTATATATTAGAATACAGATTTTCCAGGCATATGCCATACTGACCAAGTTACCATCTCTAGGAGCAGGGCCCAAGTCAGCATCTCTAGAGATAGGGCCCAAGAACCTGTTTCTAACAAAGATCCCATATCTTGATTAGGCAGCAAGCTCAGGGTTGTATTCAGACTTTCTTGTAAACCAATGCTGTACAACTTCTAGCCCAATGCTTTGCTTGTAATAAGGTTCTTAATAAAATGTATGTTATTGCATCAGTTAGTAGTCAACTTAGTGAAATGTTTAGTAAAAGAAACTCAGGCCAGGCACAGTGGCTCACACTTGTAATCCCAGCACTTTGGGAGGCCGAGGTGGGCAGATCACAAGGTCAGGAGTTAGACACCAGCTTCGCCAACACGGTGAGATCCCATCTCTACTAAAAATACAAAAAAATTAGCCAGGCATGGTAGTGCGCATCAAAAATCCCAGCTATTCAGGAGGCTGAGCAGGATAATCACTTGCACCTGGGAGGTGGAGGTTGCATTGAGCCAAGATTACTCCACTGCACTCCAGCCTGGGTGACAGAGCAAGACCATGTCTAAAACAAAACAAAACAAAAGAACCTCATACTTGCATGAACCTCATACTTATAGTGACCTCTAGCTTTTCATGTTTTTCATATTATAACCCACCCTAGAAATGAAGAACATATTTATCTCCACAGTGTTCAGCAGGTCATTCTGCTCAGAAAAATTGACTCCTCAATTGACTCCTCTTCCATGACTCCTCAGTGCCTAAAAGATCAACCCCAAATTCATGAACTTGACATTTGATGTTTTCTACAGTATGGCTCCAAGCGTTGCCTCTATGATTTTTTTTTACAAACCTACTAAACGTTTTGCTTTTCCACTTCTGTAGACCTACCCTTATTCAATTGTTTGGACTGTTTCTGTTTGTAATTTCCCATTTCTTTCTCTCCCACATCCTAGTCAAATCTTCTGTTCTTCAGAATTTCATTTTTTCATTAAGTTTCCCTTGACCATTGCAACCAACTGTATTTTTCCCATGTCCTATTTTATGAAGCACTTCTATCATTTTTCTTTTTACAGCCTTATTTTCTCTGGGACTTTTAAAATTTAATAACATCTACCTTGATAATATTTAGTATTATATTTAAGTTTATTGTTTCTAATTTAAATTATCATATTTTTAAATTTAAATCTTAACCTGTCTTGAAGTAGAAATCCTAACAGCTGTATTCTACAGAGCAAGTATGCCAGTGCTTTTTGGATACAATAAATGCCCAGTAAATTTTTGTGTAATGGAGAATGACGATTTTTATGATGTGGTCTTTCATCTTCTTAGACAGTAATAGTAATTTTTGATCCCTCAGGAGAACTCTTGAAACTAAAGAAGACCCTTCCCAAAGCAGAAGTGGGTTTCTGATAAAATATTCTATCCAGAGATGGCTACCGAGTCAAAGAAAGCTGCAGCCCAGAACTCTCCAGAGGATGAAGGACTTCTGATACTGAAGATAGAAGAGGAAGAATTTATCCACAGGCAGGACACTTGCTTACAGAGAAGTGAACTCCTCAGGCAGGAGCTCTGCAGGCAGCTTTTTAGGCAGTTCTGCTACCAGGATTCCCCTGGACCTCGCGCGGCACTGAGCCGACTCCGGGAGCTCTGCTCTCAGTGGTTGAAGCCAGAGATCCATACCAAGGAGCAGATTCTGGAACTGCTGGTACTGGAGCAGTTCCTGACCATCCTGCCGGGGGATTTGCAGGCCTGGGTTCAGGAACATTACCCAGAGAGTGGAGAGGAGGCAGTGACCATACTGGAAGATTTGGAGAGAGGCACTGATGAAGCAGTACTCCAGGTGCATAGGGGAAGGGAGATCTAAGACCTCCATAGTGCATAAAGTTCCACAGTGGGAGGAAATGGCCCGAGATTGAGTATCTGGCTTGCAGGTGCTCTTGGTTCATTGTGCATTTATGTCACCTTTCCTGTCTGTTTGATTCCACACTACATTTTACAATTGACTCAGACTCAATTCTTCCTTCCCTAGCTTTGTTTTCCTATGGGAGTTTGTCTTTGTTATTAGAAGATGTTTAACACAAGGATTCTTTTACAAGCCCAAATGTACTTTATTTTTCTCAGGTTCAAGCCCATGAACATGGACAAGAAATATTCAGGAAAAGGGTGTCACCTCCTGGACCAGCACTTAGTGTCCAGTTACAGCCAGTGGAAACCAAAGCCCATTTTATTTCATCAGAACCCCAGCTGTTACAGGACTGTGGTAAGGGGCAGCATACCATACAGTGCACATCACTGAAGAAACAGGAGAATGAATCTCCCTCCACAGACTAGTCTTGGTAACTGTAGGTGATCCTTTCCTTTATTACCCAATGAAAAGAGAGAACTTGTTTTCCTATGAGTCTTTGGCCAATTGTGGGGCAAAAGATAATTTTGTTCCTTATCCAGAATATTTCAAAACATAGAACATTTTTATGATATGACCAAATTAAAGAAAATAAAAAATGAGTTGAGAAAATATCATAAAAAAAGAAAAGAAGCAAAAGAAAAAGAAATACATAAACAGAAGCAAAACATGTTCATAGAGAAGTACATAAAATGATCAAGAGAAACAGATACATGATGATGTACTGAGAAATAGTATATAATTCCCAAGTTACATAGACTGTGATTCCTATTTTTCCTCTTATGCTGTTGGTCTTATAAAGCTCTTTTACACTTTTATAGAAAGTTAGCTATACTTCTAGAGACTACTTCCATAGAATACTCATCCCTGTTCTAAAACTCATCTGTATTTTTTTTCCCCTAAGACAGAGTCTTGCTCTGTCACCCAGGCTGGAGTGCAGTGGTGTGATCTCAGCTCACTGCAACCTCCACCTCCCAGATTCAAGCGATTCTCCTGCCTCGGCCTCCTGAGTAGCTGGGATTACAGGTGCCTGCCACCATGCCTGGCTAATTTTTGTGTTTTAGTAGAAATGGAGTTTCACCAAGTTGGCCAGGCTGGTCTCAAACTCTTGACCTCATTATCCTCCCACCTTGGCCTTCCAAAGTGCTGGGATTGCAGAGTGAGCCACCACGCCCAGCCACCATTAATTTTTAATACATTTCTACATATTCTGCTTTCAGTTTTGTTCTAGAAACATCTCCATCTATTCAATAAAAAATTGTAAAGTTTCCTCACCCCACGAACAGCACTCCCTAACCCTCTTTCCTACCCTAGCATTTTTTAGACAAAGGAAACCTTGTAACAAAGAAGGGCTGTTCAACTCTAGCACAGGATAGAGTTGTGAGCTACAAGGTGAGATTTGTGAAGACAGGATCATAAATGGACCTTGGAAACCAGGCTTGGAAGTTTAGACTTGTAACAAAAAAAGAGAGATTCAATGTTTCTGAGTAGGGTATGAAAGGATGGCAGTGTTTAATGACTATTAGTCTAAAAAAGATCTTTAGGATAACTAGGAAGAAGAAAAGTACAGGGTCAAAACAGCAAAGAGGCAGTTAAAGTCTCTAGATAGGAAATGGTGAGGTTCTAGACTATGGTGACGGTAACAAATGTAAAGGAAGGGATTTATACAAGATACACTTAGTGGACAGTGATGACAGAATTTGGAAGACTGATTAAACATGGAATAGGAGGAAGAAATAGATGATGGGGTGGCTGGAAGTTTTCTTACAGATACTTCAGAGTCTTATAGCTTTACTTTTCTCTCTTCTGTCCTCATCTGCTTTCTTTGAGGTAGTGCCTCCATTTTTCCTGTAAGTCTAACACGAGAAACGTATCATAGACCCAAGGTTCCCAAGATCCCTTTCGGTCAACATTGCAGAGTTCTTTCTCCTTACTCTGTCTCCTCCCATTTCCCCATTCTTGCTGATGGCACTCCTCCTCCCAGTCTTTTCTAATATATATATTTCACATGGCTGATTACTCTCTCTGCCAACCACTGCAGGCATTACTTGCTCTTATCAATGTTTCTTTCATTCCTATCATCCTCTTTCATTCTCTCATTCCTCTCATGTGAAAGGACACTTGCTTACAGAGAAGCGAACTCTAGCACAGTATAGAGGCGAGATTTAATATAACCAGGCTTTTATTGGTTTTTGGCACCCTTCTGGGGTAGGTTGATAGGGACTATAGGGAGCTCTCCTAACAGAACCGGACAGGATTCTCTGGCCACTGGCAATTGTGAAAGATGACTGAGGAATTTATTACTGGAAATAGTGGTCCTGAAATGTTATTTCATTGTTGCTGGCTGTTCTCTACAGAAAAGACTACAGTGTAGAGAGCCATAATATATTAATACATTAATATTAAAGTGGGGATATCAATATGTAACTATCCTGAGCATGCTGCAAATCTTCCTTTTCTTCTAGTGCAGCAAACAGGTGATATTTACCTCTTTCTTTTTTATTTTAGATACTGAGAGTGAAAACAGTAGATCTATGCCAAAGCTGGAAATTTTTGAAAAAATTGAATCACAGAGAATTGTATCTGGAAGAATCTCAGGATACATATCAGAAGCATCTGGTGAATCTCAAGACATCTGTAGGTCTGCAGGCAGGGTAAAGAGGCAATGGGAAAAAGAATCAGGGGAGTCTCAGAAACCATCATCTACCCAGGATGGAGATTTTGGTAAAATCCTCACCCACAAAAATACAGTCAGAAGTGAAATAATAAGCCATGATGGATGTGAGAGGAGATTAAATCTGAACTCAAATGAATTCACACACCAGAAATCTTATAAACATGGTACCTGTGACCAGAGCTTCAAATGGAACTCAGATTTTATTAACCATCAAAGAATTTATGCTGGAGAAAAAATTCACCAACATGGAAAATCTTTCAAGAGCCAAAAGCTTGCTAAACATGCAGCAGTTTTCAGTGGAGAGAAAACTCATAAGTGTAATGAATGTGGGAAAGCTTTCAGGCACAGCTCAAAACTTGTTAGGCATCAGAGAATCCACACTGGAGAGAGACCCTATGAATGTAATGAATGTGGGAAAGGATTTGCAGGGAGCTCAGATCTTATTAGACATCAGCGAATTCACACTGGTGAAAGACCCTTTGGATGCAAAGAATGTGGGAGAGCATTCAGCCTGAACTCACATCTTATCCTGCATCAGAGAATTCACACCAGAGAGAAACCCTATGAGTGTAGTGAATGTGGGAAAACCTTCCGAGTGAGCTCACATCTTATTCGACATTTGAGAATCCACACTGGAGAAAAACCCTATGAATGTAGTGAGTGTGGGAGAGCCTTCAGTCAGAGCTCACACCTTAGTCAACACCAGAGAATTCACAGGAGGGAAAACCTATTAATGTAAGGAACTTAAGTTTGTATGTAAATGCTGAGGAAATAGAACAATGTGAAAAACATTAAATAAAAAGTATTGGACAAGATGGAAGACTGAAAGATCAGTGTCTTGTCTTCATCTGTGTGTGTGCTTTCTGTGAGACTGGGGATGTGCCCCTTCTTTCATTGACTACTAAAGTCAAACCAAAAGAGCTACATTTAGGGGGGCTAATAAGTAGGGTAGTCTATTTGTTAGTGCAATGTAAAGAAACAGAGATTGGTGAAATAACCACGATTACAGTGTGGGAAGAAAAGGAAGATTTAAGTAAAGAGACTGATGATAGTCAGCCCTAGTTAATTTCCTGGTTAGTTTTGCACAAGGTGAGATCAGCTAAAGCCAGGAGTGAAATAGCTTGCACAGTGCACTGCAGAACAGTGTTTTCAGAGCATCCCTTTAAAAACTAAAGACCACAAAACTAAATTAAATGGTCATGTTAAGTTAGTCATGTCAAATGAGGGCATATGTAATGGTAGCATTCCTATATGAGGCCAAAATCTGTGTCCAGAGGTCATACCAGGAAGTAAAAAACCAGAAGAGCATACCAGGGAAGAGGCCAGAGTCCAGAGACTGAAGTAAGACAGGAAGAAAACAGAATTAAACAAAAATTGGGTTAAGACTGAGAAAAGTTGTTCAACTTGAACTAAACCTCAGAAGTTGGAGGCGAGACTTAATATAACCAGGCTTTTACTGGTTTTTGGCACCTTTCTGGGATGGGTTGATAGGGACTATAGGGAGCTCTCCTAACAGAACCGGCAGGATTCTCTGGCCACTGGCAATTGTGAAAGATTACTGAGGAATTTAGTACTGGAAATAGTGGTCCTGAAATGTTATTTCATTGCTGCTGGCTGCTTTCTACAGAAAGAGTATACAGTGTATATGAAAGAGGGTAGAGAGGAATGATTTAAGTCTTAAACATTCCACAGTATCTAAGGTTTTTACATTATAAAATGTAAACAGGACCTTAATGTTAGATGTGTGATAATCTAATGTGAAATGTACAAAATTTCCCACTAAGGAGGCTTTATAAGAAATAGCATTTACTTTCAATGACTTTAAAAATGTCGTGACAGCATCTAAGTAACACAATATTTGGTTTGGTTTTTAAGGTAATGTATAGGCACTGTGTTAGTATGTCCTATCTCATAATTCTGTAAGGGCTATTATTTTTCACATTTTATAGATGAGAAAACAGCTGAAGTGAACTACCTTGCTGGAGGTAACATAGTTAAGTGGTAGAACCAGGATTTTAACGCACATTTTATTACAGGGCCCTAGTTCTTAACACTTAAACTTGATTATGTTACTGAAAATATTCCTTTGGGATATAATATCAGAAAATGTAGTGCTTGTACACCACAACTCTAAAGTTGGGGTCAGGGAAAACCCTTCTGGAAGGTTAACAGACCAACATTTCAAAATCATGGAGGGAGCTGTGACCTATTAGGCCAGGAATTCACTATGGCCTCCAACCCCGCAGCGGCTCCCTCCGGGTAGGGGGCGAGCAAATCCACCACCGAGAGAGCCTCTTCCTAGGGGGGCCGGAAGCAGCTGGAGCCCCGGTAGCCGCCCATCTTCCAGCCAGGTGGTGTTGCCCGGGTCAGTGATTGTCCTGCGGCATCCGGAGCCTAGTTTGCGGCACAGGGTTACGTGCGCACTTCACCCCTGTAACTTAGCTCAAGGTTCCTATTGAACAGGATTCTGGGGATGAAGGTGGCAGCTGTAAGAGGAGGCTGTGACTGAGGACCACCAAATTCTTCTCTCCCAACCACACACAACACCAAGACGGCCCGGGAAGGTGTGGAGAGACTTCCTTTTCTCTCCCCTCCTGGCGCTGGCAGTATGAAGCTGTCTCCCAGAAGCATTAGCAGAGGAGCACTGTGGGAGAAATGAGGTGTATAATCACAATCAACTCACAATGAGGTGTTTATGCTGTCTTCGAACCTCTGAACACAAGTGTATCGTTTTCTAATGATCAGAAATGTTACCTGTAGATGTATAAAAACCACATGATCATCTCAATAGATGCAGAAAAGGTCTTTGATAAAATTCAACATCTCTTCATGTTAAAAACTCTCAATAAACTAGGCATTGATGGAACATATCTCAAAATAACAAGAGCTATTTATGACAAACCCACAGCCAATATCATACTGAATGGGCAAAAGCTGGAAGCATTCACTTGAAAAACCGGCACAAAACAAGGATGCCCTCTCTCAACGCTCCTATTCAACATAGTAGTGGAAGTTCTGACCAAGGCACTCAGGCAACAGAAAGAAACAAAGGGTATTCAAATAGGAAGAGAGGAAGTCAAATTGTCTCTGTTTGCAGAGGACATGATTGTATATTTAGAAAACCCCAGGCTAGGTGCACTGACTCATGCCTGTAATCCTAGCACTTTGGGAGGCTGAGCCGAGCAGATCACAAGGTCAGGCTGACCAACATGGTGAAACCCCGTCTCTATTAAAAATATGAAAATTAGCCAGGTGTGGTGGCACAGGCCTGTAATCCCAGCTACTCAGGAGGCTGAGGCAGGAGAATCTCTTGAACCCGGGAGGTGGAGGTTGCAGTGAGCCAAGATCATGCCACTGCATTCCAGCCTGGGCAACAAAGTGAGACTCCATTTCAAAAAAGAAAAAGAAAAGAAAACCCCATCATCTCAGCCCCAAAACTCCTTAAGCAAAGTCTTAAGGAGTTCAGAGTCATAAGCAACTTCAGCAAAGTCTCAGGATACAAAATCAATGTGCAAAAATCACAAGCATTCCTATACACCAACAACAGACAAGCAGAGAGCCAAATCATATATGAACTTCCATTCACAATGACTAAAAAGAGAGTAAAATACCTAGGAATACAGCTGACAAGGGATGTGAAGGACCTCTTCAAGGAGAACTGTAAACCACTACTCAAGGAAATAAGAGAGGACACAAACAAATGAAAAAACATTCCATCCTCATAGATAGGAAGAATAAATATTGTAAAAATGGCCATACTGGGCTGGGCGCGGTGGCTCACGCCTGCAATCCCAGCACTTTGGGAGGCCGAGGCGGGTGGATCACGAGGTCAACAGATCGAGACCATCCTGGTCAACATGGTGAAACCCCGTCTCTACTAAAAATACAAAAAGTCAGCTGGGCATGGTGGTGCGTGCCTGTAATCCCAGCTACTCAGGAGGCTGAGGCAGGAGAATTGCCTGAACCCAGGAGGTGGAGGTTGCGGTGAGCCGAGATGGCGCCATTGCACTCCAGCCTGGGTAACATGGGTGAAACTCCATCTCAAAAAAAAAAAAAAAAAAAAAAAAAAAAAAAAAAAAAAAAAAAAAAAAAAAAAAAAAAAAAAAAAAAAAAAAAAAAAAAAAAAAAATGGCTGTACTACCCAAAGTAATTTATAGATTCAGTGCTATTCCTGTCAAACTACCACTGACATTCTTCATAGAATTAGAAAAAACTACTTTAAGTTTCATATGGAACCAAAAAAGAGCCTATATAGCCAAGACAATCCTAAGCAAAAAGAACAAAGCTGAAAGTATCACACCTACCTGACTTCAAACTATATTACAATGCTACAGTAACCAAAACAGCATGGTACTGGTACCAAAACAGACATATAGACCAGTGGAACAGAACAGAGACCTCAGAAACAACACCACACATCTACAACCATCTGATCTTTTGACAAACCTGACAAAAACAAAAAATGGGGAAAGGATTCCGTATTCAATAAATGGTGCTAGAAAACTGGATAGCCATATGCAGAAAACTAAAACTGGACCTCTTCCTTACACCTTATACAAAAATTAACTCAAGATGGATTAAAGACTTAAGTGTAAAACGCAAAGCCATAAAAACCCTAGAAGAAAACCTAGGCAATACCATTCAGGTCATAGGCATGGGCAAAGAATTCATGACAAAAACACCAAAAGCAACTGCAACAAAAGCCAGAATTGACAAATGGAATCTAATTAAACTAAAGAGCTTCTGCACAGCAAAAGAAGCTATCATCAAAGTGAACAGGCAACCTACAGAATGGGAGAAAATGTTTGCAATTTATCCATCTGACAAAGGTCTTGGAAGACAGTGTGATGATTCCTCAAGGATCTAGAACCAGAAATACCATTTGACCCAGCAATCCCATTACTGGGTATATACCCACAGGAATACAAATCATTCTATTATAAAGACACATGCACATGCAATAGCAAAGACTTGGAAACAACCCAAATGTACATCAACGATAGACTGGATAAAGAAATGTGGCGCATATACACCATGAAATACTATGCAGTGATAAAAAAGAATGAGTTCATGTCCTTTGCAGGGACATGGATGAAGCTGGAAGCCATCATCCTCAGCAAACTCACACAGGAACAGAAAGCCAAACACCACGTTCTCACTCATAAGTGGGAGTTGAACGATGAGAACACATGGACATAGGGAGGGGGACATTACACACGGGGGCCTGCCAGGGAGTGGGGGTGAGGGGAGGGAGGACATTAAGACAAATAGTTAATGCATGCAGGGCCTAAAACCTAGATGATCGGTTGACAGGTGCCACAAACCACCAGGACACACATATCTATGTAACAAACCTACATGTTCTGCACTTGTATCCTGGAACTTAAAGGTAAAAAAAAAAGTGGCTGGGTGCAGTGGCTCACGCCTGTAATCCTAGCACTTTGGGAGGCTGAGGCAGGCAGATCACCTGAGGTCAGGAGTTTGAGACCAGCCTAACATGGTGAAACCCCATTTCTACTAAAGACACAAAAGAATAATTCCCCAGCATAGTGACGGGTGCCTGTAGTCCCAGCTACTCAGGAGGCTGAAGCAGGACAATCACTTGAACCCGGGAGGCAAAGATTGCAATGAGCAGAGATCGTGTCACTGCACTCCCTCCTGGGCAATAGAATGAGACTCTGTCTCAAACAAACAAACAACAACCAAAAAAAGGTGCTCTAAGATGAAAGGATTTTAAAAAATAATAGAATTGACCGGGCGCGGTGGCTCAAGCCTGTAATCCCAGCACTTTGGGAGGCCGAGGCGGGTGGATCACGAGGTCAAGAGAT